TAATTATGGGTTCCCATTTGACTATATAATAATAACTGGATTCTCTTTATTATACTACTGCTTTATTTTTATGCGGTATGCATATTACCGGTTTGCTGATATATGATTGAGCTACAAAGACTCGTGTGTAACAACACTTCTTCATTAATCAACTTATTAAAGCTATGTCGGCAAAGGAAAAATGTCAAACAGAGATTCTGAGACATGGTTTGACAACAATTTATGGAGAATGCAGTCTTCCACCTATTAACGTAAAAGTGTAAGAAGATATTGCATTTTGAAATCTCAAAAGAATCTTCAAACATTCACCAAATGATGCAAAAGTGAGGGTCTCTCTTGAGCAATTGTGCTCATTACACACTTCACTTTCTCTGTTCCAAGCTTCTCCTCAACCATTCTCCACAATTCTGGCATTTTCTGCTCATAAACGAATGCATATCCGAAAATCAAAGTCCACCATATTTCCATCATTCTGCTATACGGAAAACTCCCAATCTATTTTTTTGATGACTTTATTTTGACAAGAAGAGACCACTGTTACCTTTGTCAGCCATAGCATGTAGACAGCAGCATGCAATGCTTGAGCTTGAAAATCTTCAAATTTGGTATCCGGAACAGTCATAGAAAATTCTACAAGACGGATCTCATTATCAATGAAGATGGCAATTTCTTCATTCATAATGGTACTCTCTCCGGGTTCAGGTGAAACATCTGAATCATTGCAAGCGAAATACATTATCCAATTAAGAGACAGGAACCGCCGGTGAAGCCATAGGGCCTGAAAGAAAAAGTGTAACAACTCAAGTAAGTCACTAATTTGATCATCTCCATCGTAGCACGACAAAAAAACTGTTTACAAAACTATCTTTGTCATCCAAACCACTGTCGCGATGATAGCTTAGCGCGAGAGAAATTATGCGTTGACAAAATCCAACTTGGTTGTTTTTTTAATAACAGATGTATGATAGGTGCTAGATCTTCATACCCTGGCCATCTCTACACTAATTAATTTTTGAAAATCAAAGATAATCATACCTCTCGTCCCACGTAACGTTCTACCAATTCTTTGTTCCAATCCAGCTCTTCCTGTAATATAATCGTAGATAAGTTTTAGGAGACATCCTCATTTTCAGCACAAATGTAAAAATAAGATTACTCTGGGAAAAAATAACGGTACCATAACAGGGATGGGTTAGCAAGGTAGACAAAGCGTACCTTCCAGATTTTACGTGCCTCGGATTTATCATAAGCATTGCCTCCTTTCACATAAAGTGACTCCAAAATCTTGAGCATCAGCCGCTGGACATTAATGAAAACAAAACAGTTGAGCTGCATGGAACACTTCATCAGAATGGAGAATGATAGTTGTACTTTTTACTTCCAAGACCTAACATAACTTGGAGTAAGTTAGATTGATGTATACTCTAGATTTTTAACAATCATATAAACTGAATATACGGTTCTTACTCTACGATAATGGAAGCAAGAACTATCGGCTACATGAAGCCTGGCCCACCTTTTAGATTTGTTCAACTCTTGTATCACCTAGAATAGACAACATATATCTATGTAATCGGAATCACATATAAGAGAAAACTTATGGTGTATCTTAGACAATATGAAACTTTCACAAGTTCAGCTAACAAAAGGAACCAAATTAATGAAGTCAGAGAAACGTTGCAAAGTTAAGCATATCTGACCATACAAAAAGGTTACAAGTTCAGACCATATGGTCAAAAGATCAGGAATGATATCTGAAGAAATGTAGAAAATGATTTACCTGCTCAATTGCCATGTAGGAAACCAACCAGCAACGGTGATACCATGCACGATAGTTCATCTTTGATCTCTGCAAAAGGCATGTATTTTGATTAGGAGCTAGAGTTTCTTTTAGGAACAAAGCAAGTGGTTGTGTCATATAAGTAGGAATGGTAAGAGTGACCGACCATTCAATATATACATGATAGCCAACTTGTGAAGACTAGGAGAAACCAATATTAATTTCATTAGATATATGATGAACTTTCATTAATTAAAGCATCAAAACTGGAACTAAACCTCGCCTATTGATTCCACTAACTCAGATTCTTTGGTTATAATCTCTTGTGGTGTAGAAAATCTCTGAGAAATCATCTTAATTATCCACCTTCTGTTGAAATAAAAACCAAATATTACGAGGAAAGTAAATGGACAAGAACAAGTAGGAACTATTCAGGCTAAGATCAGAAAATGGGTTTGCATTACTAAAGCATAACAGTGACCGGAAACATTGATTCTAATGAATACAATGAATCATAAAGACCGACCTATGGCTCCATGTTGACTCACTCTTATGAGAATTTGAAAGAATGAGCCCAGAGAGACGAAGCTCTTCCATGAATGCCGAAAGTTGATCCTTTTTTGATAATATCAACTTCCTATCTCCAGAACACACATACAAGACGAGGTTAAACACTAGGAAACATATTAAATCAATTATTACTTATATGAGTACCTAGCATTCCATGCAGTTCCAAAGTCTGAACTTATCAGCAAAACAGCTTGGCTATGCTTCATAACTTCACTCTCGGGAGTACCGGGGGAACAAGAGAAATTCTCAATTTGAGACTCATTACAAGCGTTTCCATGGCGTTTGTACTCCTCAAACGCAAGCAGAAACACATGTTTGGCATCTTTACATAATTGAACAAGAATATCAGTTGATATTCCCAATTTGTGATCTTGATTCCAGAATTTTCTTGAGGTTCCATTGTTAGGCTGGAGTTCATTTTGATACACATTGGCGGAACCTGCTTCTTCATCCAGCAGGTTGAACTGTGAGGGGTGAATAAACCCTACTTCATCACTGAATTCAGAGTGACAAAACAAAGTAAGAGAAAGCATTAACTTAGGAGTGAGGATAATGGTAAGAGAAGAGGAAGAAACCAAATTCAATTCAAACTCAAACCAATTAATAAGACCATGAGACTCACATAAGAGGGTCAGCTTCAAGAACATGCTCGAACTGCTTCAACAAGCTAAAGCAATCTTCTTCAGAACATGGTCCTTGTCTCATTGTTCCTCGAGCCTTTTAAAAAAAAACCCGCACTTTCGATATCTGCTCTCCTTCTTTCGCTTATAATTTCTCACTATCTTCGAGTTCTGAATCTTCGTCTCTCGGGGCGAAATTTGCCTAGCAGGATATCTGCAGACGGAATCAGAATTCAAAATTAGGGATTTCGCCGGAGAAAATGGTTAAGGCCGGAGAGATTTCAGTTGTTCCCCGATCGCGCTGGTGAAAAATCACAAAAAGGAAATAATTTTTTTTATTGCTCCTATTATTTACCTTAAGAGCAAGATTATTGGTGGGATCCAAAAATTGGGATCCAAACAAGATTCATAATATTAATAATGAAAAATAAAAAATTTAGACACTTTGAGTATTATTTATTTTCACAGTCCAATGGTGGATCCAAAAAGTGAAGATCCAAAAATTTCAAATTTTCATAAAATGTGTATAAGTTGTTTGTGTTATAAATCATACACTGAAAAAAAAAATTGAAATAAACTTGCAAACGTGGTCTTCTCCTCTTCATTACATACTATACCTGAAAAGGAAACAAAAACACTTGCATCTCAACACTTGCAACACAGCCCAACATTAATCTGAAAGTTTTAAAACCAAACCATAGCAATCAAGAGACTTTGAATATAGCAATATTCATCTCCTCTTTACAAGGACAACTAATACATATTTCGCAAATACCTGGTTAAATCTTTCCCAAACCAAGTCTTGCTCCATTTGATAGCCTTGATCGGTAACCAAAGTATAGAGTTTTCCTCACGCTGCAAAATGAGGGCCAAAGAAATGAGAATTCCTCACGCTGCAATGAGCTGGTTTTACTAAGAAACTTCAAATCTAAACATATTTCCATATGCAAGTTCATTGCTCTTTGTAATTGACGTTGTCGAAGATACCTCTTCACTTACATTGGTCTTATATCTTTGAATCACAGATGCATGACACATGAACAAGAACAATAATTCATGACAAGAACAATATGTGATACAACAATGCAATTCTTAAAATCTGAAAGCTAATGCAAAACAGTAAGCTTAAACAAACAAAAACAACTCTTCTAACAGAGTCGATTACACATGGAAAAATCACTGAAAATCTGAGAAGTACTATCAATTGCATCAGTACATCACATCAATTTTGAAAAATCAGCTGGGAACATTAGACAAACACATTCGGATTTATCCATTCTACAACGCATACATGAATTAAGCATTGGGGAACCATAAAAGATACTGAGAGACAATACTAATCAAAAGTCAATCCAATAAAGAGAGCATGATCAATTTCAAAACCGAAACACAAAGAACCCTAAATTTTCAAAAATCAGAGAACCCTAATTTCTATAGCCTCAAATAAACAAGATTTCAAAGCATGGGAAAGAGGTTCGTACCCTGAGATCGAGATTGGTGAAGGAAACACGCCGATTTGATGAAAGAAACTCTCCGATTGCTCATGAAAATTCGCGGATTTGAACAACCAGAGGCGCCGATTTGCTGAACCCAACTCGCCGATCGTGGCCCGCGTCGGTGGAGATGATGATCACGACGGATCGAAGAGTCGGAGCTACTACTTCTCCTCCGCTGCTTCCGATTTCGTCAAAGAGAGAGACGATTAAACGAAAAATAAAATAAACACGGGACAAAAAAAAAATAATTCTGTCTAATACAAAAATATTCACCAACCAAATAGCGACACGTAAGCAGATCCAAAACTTTGTTAAAAATCTAAAATTAGACCAAGATCCATTGTTTTAATTCATTTTGGATTTATTTTTTGGATCCTTTGGACCTTGGACATTCATTTGGATCCCCCGTTAAGGGTGGTCTTATCTACTCAAATTTGTCCAATCGGTATTTTATTTCCTTGTAAGATTTTCCTTTTTACTCCAAGAAAAAAAAGTCACTCATGCTAACAAAAACATACTTGTGTATGTATTATAACGCAACCGATGCATACGAAATCGAGTCGAGCGATGGTCACAGATGGTGATACTCCGAATTGGTCGGAACTTGTCACAGACATCTTATCATTGGTTTTCAAGCACTTGAGCTTTACAGATTTTGCTCGAGCTAAGACCGTTTGTTCGTCGTGGTACTTTGCTTCCAAATCATCCTCACCTAGAAAAAACCATACTCCGTGGCTGATTCTCTACGAAGACACGCACTGGCTCATGTTTAATTCGGAAGAAGAAAAGTTTTACAGAACACAAAACCTAGGTCGCTTTGCCGAGTGTCGTGGCGTGGCGACTTGTGGGAGTTGGGTCTTGGTCTTTGACAAGGAAATAAATTTCTACATCATTAATCCCTTCACGCCAGAGCTCATTCGTCTCCCACCTCTTGAATATTCAAACAGCGGCACAAAGTTCGAGAGACCCGGTAACTATATTTTCCACCTACTCTTCGACGATTTCAGAATAAACAGTGTAGTAGTGGGGAATTCGGTTCTGTGGGTAGACGAAAAAACCAAAGACTACTTAGTTGTGTGGTCGTACAAAGAGGCATGTCATCCGGGTCCCTACATATATTATTGCAGGAAAAGAGAGCAAGAGTGGTTTGAGATTCCGGCAAGCACTTGTGGGAAGCTAATCGGGTGTTTGGATATGGCCTACAAAGACGAGAAGCTTTACATACATACTTACAATGGTAGCATCAGAATTTTGGACTTTTCTCTTGGAGACTTGCCTAGACAAATCGACAATCATCCATTCTCCCATCGACCGTTTGTTACCGAGTTTCCTAATCGTAGGACGGGAATGAGACTAACCACGTTTGGAGATGTTGTGATGATCCAATGGGTGACAGTCACTCACAAAAGAATCCCGTTCCAAATCTACAAGATGAGTAGCAAAAGAGAGACGAAGGAGTCGTTTCCGGTGCTAGGGTGGGGCGACGATGCTGCGTACTGGGAGAGAGTGCATTCTTTCGAGGACGAGGAGTCGTTGGTTTGGGATTTGAGCGTCACTTTACCAACCAAAGGCGTATCTGGTATCAAGAAAAATTCCATATATTTCTGTCACACTTCTTATTCATCTATTCGGGAAGTTGCTGCCTATGAGATTCCTACGCACAAGATCACTGCGTATGAGATTCCTAAGCAGGATATTGAACCTATTCGACACCGCGGCATCTTGATTGGAGAGGCTCGTTGGTTCATTCCTTGTTTTGGTGCTGGTGAATAATCCGCACTATAATTAGGAGAAAGCTTCACCAATCAACCATGTTTTGTTAGTTTTGGAATCCAGTTAGGCTTTTTTTGCCAATATGTTTGTAGATTTTGGATAAAACTATATTTCTCTGATTTCCATATTTGATAAATGCATTCTTCGTTGGGGAAAAGCAAAAACAACAACTGAGAATCCAAATCCTTCTGCTTAGAAAAAATAATATGGAAGAACGAACGCATATGATACTTAGAACCAAAGCCATCTTCTATACAAACTCCCTGCAAATTTTCCGTGTCCTTTAAGTATTAGAGCTCAGGTTTCAATCGACCTAAGATAAAAAAGAAGATGTTTTAAAGACAATTTAAAGGAAACAACAGAGATATGAGAGAAGCAAGTTTGTGTAGCTTTAGTTACCATTAGGTGAGAAACTGGACATAGTCGTTGGATTTGAGACGAACCCCATCTGGTAAAGGTTTTGTAGTTCACTCTCTAGTGTTGTCTGCAAGATGAGATAAGAAAGAGATGTGTAAGACTATTTACAGTAATGCCAAAACATTGAACATGATATGTTGCTTCTTCCAAGCTATTGCTTACCTGAGGTAATGGGTTGTATTGTGGATTTGTGGTGGTAGAAAGGTTCGGTATGGTCCCTTGAAAACCGCTAAAAGGATTCAGCCCGAGTGTAGGAGTGTTTCTGTCTCTTGATTGCAGAAGCTAAAAGGAGAAAATGGCAAGTTTAGCACTTATTCATACCTTGCAAAGTGCAAACAATTATTTCAGTGTGAAGTTTGTGGGATTTTGAGCTCTTACATCTTTGGCAAGAATCCTGTCTATATCAATGTTGATTTCTGGATTCACCGTCGCAAGTTTCATAGACAAAAACTGAAGAAAATAAAAGCAGTTTTCAAGAATGAAAACCTATTTCACACCATACCATGACCAAACTAACTTAAGCATTTCAAGAATCTCGCGTTACAGGGATATTCTTACCTCAACTTGCTGTTGCAATGACTGAACATAGTTGATGATTTCATCGAGCATAACCGCTTTCCCGGTGATCTAGTTGAGCAAATAATCAACAATGAAAACTTTCAGTAAAATCTTATTATAAATCGAAGGAAGTTTAGCAACTAAAAGTAACCTCAAAGTCCAAATACCTTGTTGCATCCAGGAACAAGTTCTTGAAGCAATCTCATCCTTTCACTGATCTTTTCTCTTCTAACCTTCAAACAGCAAACGAAACAGCAAACTTCTCAGCACCAAAATTGGCAGAAAACAAAGAGCAGATTCTCATAATCGATATATCTGTAGAAGAGTCCTTACCCTCTCTGCAAGACTGTGACTATTAGTGGCTTGGCCTCTTCTTGCCCTCATATGAATGTAGTTTTCTTTCGGTGCTTCTTCACTTTGTGAGCTCTCCTTGTTCACCGTCTCTTTACTCTGATCATTCTTGTGTTTCTTCTGGCTCTGGTCACTTCCCCTTTGAGGGTCTTCTTGAAATTCCTCCACAGCTTTCTGCCAATTTAACAACACTCACTTGTTTCAGCCCTAAACCATACCCTAAACCATCAAAAGCTTTAGTCTTTTCTAATTATTCCTTGCAAGTAACTCTACCAAAATCTAATTCTATTAAGTTTATACCTTGTTCCATTGTGATTCGGCTTCAGGTAGCCTTCTTTTCCCAATTGGGGAAGCACCAAGAACAGCATCATCTGAAACCTGATGATGATCCTCATGAGATGATTCTCCAGCTCTGATCAATCTTTCCCCTTTCTTGTCTGAACCAAGAAAATGACCAATTTGACCACCTCCACAATCACCATACGGAAGAAGACTAGCAGGCATGTCTGCTGCAAAACCGGAACCAGAACCGGGTTGGTAATGAGAGAAGCAACTCATCCCTGGATTATCCATCGCCATTGAAGGATGGTAATGAGAGCTTGAGAAGCCACCAGCAGCATTGACAACTGGATCCCAATCTGCAGAAGAGAAGAAAGGATCTGCCTTTGCATACAAGGGCATTGATGTAATTCCAACTCTTGGGATCCCACCACTCTCATCATCTCCATGCTTAAAACCCATCTCTCCTTCATTACTCTCACCACCCATTCCTCTGCTTCAACAACACCCTCGAAAGAAAAATGTTTTCCAATTTCAAAACCTGCTACTTTGCAAGACTTAGACAAGGAACAGCTGAAGTAAACTAGTTTGCAGATTTTATACAGTGGAGAAAGAGGAAAGAGAAAGGAAAAACAAATCAACAGAGCATCAAATCTAATGTAGCAGAAGCAAGTCACAGGTTCTTTTAGGAAAGAGGGGGAGAGAGAGAAAGAAGCCTAGGATAAATGCTTATTCATACTCAAGTCAAGCGAAGAAAATAATTAAAGAGAACAAATAGACTTATCATAGACAAAGAAAGCTGAGAACTTTCAGAGCATAAAGTGGTAACAAGCAATGGATTTAGCTAAGTTACAGCTCACAAGAGAAATAAAAAGGAAAAGAAAGCAAAAAAAAAAAAAAAGGAAAAGTAGATTCGCTTTTAAGAGAGTGAGAGAGCAAAGTCACTATCTCATAAACCAATCTCTTCAGCTTCAAGAGGGACAGAAACCAAAAAACAAAAACAAAAAAAAGATTAGGCCTTTCAAATGTAAAAGCTTGAGAGATCAGAGGAATTGAGACAGAGAAGCAAGAATTTTGGGAATTAAGGAAATGGAGACAAGCCCTATTAGAGATACTCCAAGATTGTGGTTGCTTTCGAAAGAGAGAGTACAAAAGAAGAATCAAATTCTTCGGTGGGAATTTACCTCATCACTGTTAAACCTAAATCAGATAAATAAGGGAAGAGATAGTACACTCAATTCAAAGAGTATCAAATGCTGTTTTTGCTTGAATTGGGGTGAATGTAGAATTTTTAAAGGAATAAATAAAAATGAGGAAAAAAAACAGAGAGATTCACACAAGTTGGGTTACTTGAACAAACAACAAAGCAAGCATCAAGTTCCCAACTTTATAGAATCAAAGGATACAGTAATAAATAATAATACTTGTATTTAATGGGCAATAAAAGACCTAGAGAAAGAGAACAAATAAAGCTGATAATGAGACTATGTTGAAGTTAAACATACACAATAGCACATGTGTGAGTTTGAGTGTGAATAATTTTTTATTATTATAATTAAAGAGATAGAAAAAAAAGAGAGAGGGGGATAGAGAGAGATAGAGAGAGTGTAGTATTTTTTTTTATTTTAATACTCACACCCAAGTGTAAACTTACACCCAACATACAACTTTTACACAACTTTTCTATTTTTTTTTTTTTTTATCTTACTCATACCCAACCAAAAATTATACCATTGTGTATGATCTAATAGAGGAGACATAATAATATGATTATTAAAAACAAAGACAGAACAACTACTGCCAACTGCTTTATTTGCTCTTTTCTTTTTCATTATTACACAACCTAATCTAACTCTCTAACTTTTTTTTCTTTTGATTAAAATACATGTCTTAACTTTTACACCTTTTTTAATTACACTAATTTTCCCTTTGGGTTTTTACTTCACCATTTTTTCTGTAATATCTATATGATGAGTTCAATAAGTAGTTAAAGTTTTCAAAAAAGAATATCAAGGTTAGGTAAATTTTGCATTTTATATGGTAAAAATGGAAATTTACCTTGTTTAATTTTCAGTCAATTTCTCAAACAATATTAAAATGGAGTGTCATTATTTGTTTCTTATAATCTCAAAGTCTCAATGTACAAGCAAGAGGTTCTTCTCTTCATGCCCAAGCTTTGCTTTCTAGCTTCTACTCTGACATGTGCTTTAGAATATTATATCATACAAGTACACATACATGCATGTATATATGTATATGATTATGTGTATATATGTAGATAATATAATTTTTTACTGACACAAATTGCCAACTATATATTCTTACAGAAGACTCTTTGCTGTGACACACTCATATTTTTGTTCTGAGTGCCAACTAACCCTCTTTTGGAATAATTTTACGTTCAGCTTTTGTAACAGCCGTGTGATTAAACTACTACGTTTAGATCTCATTTCTACGCCGTTGGATCCAAGCAACATATTTTTATTCTTTCTTTTTACTGTTTTCCTTTCTTTACAATAAAAAATGGATAGTTTAGTATGATTCTAATCAAATTTTTGTTGTTGTTAAACTCATTCTAATAACGTTGTGATCACATCACACTTTCTTAATTTCTCAGAATTAAAGGTAGTTCAACAAAAAAAAAGGTTGTTCAAATTTCCTAATATAATATGGCACGAGGGAATTATTGTTTTTTTTTTTTGTTGTAAATTATACTAATATTGCAACTTGAGAATAAATCATTTCAGAAAAAAAAAATGATTTATTCAAAATGCCGTTGTAGTTTTACTGTGCGTAAAGTTTATGAGGATCCTAAAATCTAGGTGATACTATTTGGTTGTGGTGTCATTTTCCGAAAACAAGCAAAGTTACTGGCCAGACTTTAACAGTTTCTAAATACTTATTTACTTGTCTTCTTTTATTTTATTTTATTTTTATTTGGAAGATTTTACCTTTTTAGAATACTCATACTCTCAATAGATAAATATACAACTTGAAATCATAAAAATTGATAGTTAAACGACGACCGTTGCCTTAAACCCTCTTCGACTAATAAATTTTAATGCATATAACTTATAGAACACACGTCTTTAAAGTTGGGAATACGTGAAAACTCGATATTTGAAAGACCAAACCAAATTTCATCATGTATCGTGATTGTTATAATTCAGATCATACAATTTTGTCAAATAATATGGATGTGGAAACCCAATAATGAAACAAGCAACTGTTTTCACTTTGACTTTGTTTCTTATTTAGGCATGAACATGTTCGATCTGACTTCTCACAAAAGCAATGTTAAACAAAAATTTATTTTAAATTAAAACGAACAATATCTCAGTCGTATATATAGTTGGTGGTGGTAAATCAACTTACATAAAACTTATTAATCTTTTTGTACTCAGAAAAGTCGAAGATGGGGTAGAAATAATACATATAGTTATTTAGGGAATGATTATTTAATTTTCGTATAAATCTCTTTTTTTATTGTCAACAAAATAATCCTAGATGATTACCAAAAAAACAAACAAAATAATCCTAGATTAGTACAAAAAAAAATACATAGTAGGAGGAAACATAAGGAATAAAAGGGAATCTTATATAGTTCATATTAGAAAATTAAAAAAAAAAAAATATATATATATATATATATATATGATTATATATAAAACTCCGAGTCAAGTTACAGCTGTTAATAAGACTTGCAGAAACTAGAGTTTCGTAGTTCTTAAGCATGGGATAAATACCCTCTAACCTAACAAACCAATAAACCATTTGGTCAAACCTTTTAATTATTTGGTCAAACCCCACAATCTTGGTTGTTAACTAGCTGTAATCACCACCAGATATGAGGCCTCTCGTGTATACATACTAACATACATGTGTAATGTGCCCAAACATCTGTGGTCTAGTGGTAGAGGAAGTTTTGCGAAAGGGTGAAACTCCCAAACCTGAGTTCGATTCTTCCTGGAAACAAAAACACATTTGTTTGGGAAATCTGTCAATTGAGCTTTGGCCCAATTGGTTTACCTGGTAGCCAGAAATGCAGACGGCCTGACTACCCCCTGGCATTAGTCGGAACTCGGAAGGCACTCCAAACTCGGATCAGGCAGTGTGGTGGCCCAACTGGATCTCATGGCCCGTTCGACCCGAGTCCGCTCGGAGCTCATGGTGTCCGTTGAACCGTTGAACCGCGAAGAAGTCCACTCTGTAGCACCTCGGTGCGTTCCTACCGAGGTTGACCGGATTAGCCGATAAAGTTTATAAAAAAAAAATACATGTGTAATGTGTTTTATGCAATTATAAGATAAACTTAAAAACTAATACTTTGGTCAGTATTATACGATTTTTGTTCTGATCTCAAAATAAATAAGTCGAGTGATTAAAGTTTTGAGTAGAATACTATTTTCTGATTAAATATCCTTTATTTGAAATTCGTTGGAGATCATTTCTGATTTTTTCCACAAGAATATATAAAAAGTATACTTACGAATATATATAAACTTGTAATAAGGGATGTACTTACAAATGTAGTTAGGTTAGGAAATATGACTTGTTTATTCAACTTGGAAATGCTTCTCATCATTGCAAACAAGCAGAAGATTTAAGATCCAACCAAATTATGATAAGTGAAACTTGCACACAACTCCTCTTTCTACATTACTCCCTTGATAATTATATGGGACCAGACTAGATTACTGTTTCACTAAACGGATACAACACACATATATGTACACATTCATTAGAGGCGTAAACGTAAAAGTAAATTTTGTAGTAGTAAATTTTGTAAATAAAAATAAGTAATATCACACTAGACCTTAAAGTTACAAGCATCAAATCTTAAATGTGTACAGTTGTATAGTTTACCAACTAACCAATGTATATACAGAATAGTACAATAATCTAATTTCTGTTTCATGTGCTGTAAAAGAACAATGACACACGTAAAAAGTGAGCAAAGGAATGATTAAGAAACCTTAATGGAGTAGGTTAAATTAAAGACACAGTTTCCTTATTATACTCCATTTTAACTAAATTATGTTAACTTTGATTAGAGTGAAACCAATTAAAGTGAGAAGATCCTGCGACTGCGACCACGCTCGCGCGGACTACTTATGTGGACCCTCTTTTTAACTAAAACTTACAATGGCCCACAAGAAGTGGAAGTGGTCCATACTCTTTTATTTGCAATGATGCTCAAGATTCCTAGTATCCTAATTATGATCGCAAATAATATCTTTATCTCTAATCTCATCGTTTATTTCTTAAAGCCATAACAGTCCGCTTTACCTATAAAAGTATAAGAAATAAGAAATCGTTTAGTCTAGAAACAAAGTATAGACAAGTGAATTTGCCTCCGTTTTGCTAAGTTGCATATACTTACTGATGGTTCAAATAGATTTTGAACTATTGTTTAAATTGTTTGATGTATCAAATCAGCAATGCTTCAAGTGTCCTGGTTGAGTTAACAATGAGAGGTTTGAGTGGAGTCTCGATTGCGTGTAGATGAGATATATAATCATATGTTTTGATATGAAACGAGGCTCAAGTTGGATTCCCTCACGTTTCTTATAATCTTAATTGTGGTGGCTGGTGGTGTTTTCATTTCGTCAATAGATTTTGACGAGGTTGTGTCCTTGGAGAAAAAAATATCTGGTTTGGAAGCTCCAAGTCACATAGTTTAGATAAGAAAAAATGATATTAGTGGTTAAAGGCGTATTTAAGGTTTAAACCCATATTTAGGCTCTTGAATAACCATAATACCATATGACTTGGTAACACCATTTCATGTGTAGGCATGTTTCCTACATCATCACTTTGGATCGTAGTAGTTACTAATTACCCTCTTTTTTGTTTTTCTCTAAACATTTTAATTTAATTTCAATTTTGATGATACTTAACTTAATGGGCCTCACGTGAGGGAAGCCTACCCGCTAATTCATCTAAAAGTGTTTCTCAGCAGCAGCACTTGACTTTCACTTCCAGCGATCGGACGGAGAAGCTCATGGAAGCTGCTGGTGGCGTTACAAGTTGTCATCTTCTCTAGTCTTTTCCATTTCACCTCTTTTTCGTCGGCGACCCAATCGACGTTTTGGGAATTTCTCCCCCAAAATCAGACACCCTAGGTTTCTCCAACATGGAAGACGCCTATGCCAGATCTGTCTCTGAGGTGCTTTGCATTTCACTTCTATTATCTTCTCTTTTGACTCTTCTTTTCTGATTTGAAATCTCTAAGATATGGCTGCGATCGCTTATAATGTTAGCTAGCTGGTGATGATTTTCTTGGGAACTGTTTTTCTGTGATGGAAAGTGAATTTCTTGTCTTTGAGCTCTCTGTTAGGTGTTGATTGGATTCTGTTGTTGTTTGTTCAGGTCCTTGATTTCTTTGGGGTAGACCCAACAAAGGGTCTTTCCGATTCTCAGGTATGAGTCTGTACAACCCAACTGTGATCTCCATTGTTGGACAACTTCAAACCTGTTAAAGTCATTTTGAAGCTACCCATGATGTTAAAATTTAATCTTTCGTTTCCGTATATGTAGGTTGTTCATCATTCTAGGCTTTATGGCAGGAATGGTATGTATTTCTTCCACTTCACTTGCACCTCTAGATTTGGTGTTCATATAAAGGATCACTCAAGGACATAACGATATTTCATGCAGATGGTCATGATAGGGTGTCTTGGTGTTTATTGTTCTTTTCAATTAAGCATTTAGAATTTAAGTGAGCTGTAGATTTTATAGTCTTGGCATGTACTTGTAAGTTTAGCATTGTATATTAGTTTGTCAAGTACCTTCATTCGAAAATCCTGCATATGATTTTCTGTGCGTTTATAAATTTCAGTACTCTATGAAATCACTGTGGGCTTTTAAATGGAATTAGTGTTGGCTTTTATGTGGAAAATGCATACCTTTTTCATATAAGATACAAAGAATATATTTTTACCTTGTTA